GGAAGAGATGCTTCCCAATCCCAGGCTCTGGCCTCCTGGTGTGGTCAGCTTTCAGGGGCTTTCTTCCCTCAGCTGCTGCTTTCCTGCCCACGTCACATGGGGGACAGGTAAGACACACATCTCCACACCTACAATGGTACCTACTGAGGAATCCTAAGAGTGCCCGGGAGAGTGAGGGAGGAGCCGCGGCAAGAGCATGAGAGGGCCTCCCAGAGTGGTTCTTCCACCACCCAAGAGGACATGGGCACCTAACCTAGCAACAGGGCCCCTTGGAAGTGCAAACCACCTCAGTGTGGACATACAGAAATGATAACCAGCTAACATAGCTACTCTGCAGCTCCTGAAGCCGCACTTTTATATAGCAACTGGACCTTTCCTTCTGCCCTAGAGCTGGACCTCCAAGTATGAACAGGGTGAATCAGCAGCACGAAGGGGAGGAGGGCAAGCCAGCTGCTCTGCACTCACTGCTCTCAGGGTGGGTTGCAGGCAAAGAGGCACAGCCGCAGAGGCCGTGGCCAGTGCTTCTCAGAAGACTACAGCTTGTCTCAGTTCCCACAAAAAAGATGGCGAACACGGAGACAGGGGTCCTTGTTTGACAAACACTGGGTGGCTAAACAGGCAGTACAGCCCTGTCACAAACTGGGTAAAGAGCTTGCAACATCTTCTGCAGATATTTACGCTTCCGATTGTACAGTGTTTTGTTTTCCTGCAAGTATACCAGGAATACTTCTTAGCAACATCCTGCCATAGCTCTAGAAGAGACAGGTAGCTGGCCGTGTTGGTAAGACTCGGCAGTCATTGTAAACCTTCATTCTAAAGTCTAGGAGACCTGCTGGGATTACAGGTGATCATCACACCTAGGTATGTTATACTTGCTTGCGATGTTCAGAGAGAAAATGTCATTCTTATGGTGATACAGAAATTGAAGGTACAGGGAAAACAACAGAGCACTTATTTAGACTGTTCAGTAAGCTGACAGAAATTAAGCTCAAGACCCGTCACAGCTTATTTATTTATATATTTTATTTATGATACAAGGTCTTCCTATGTAGCTCAGTATAGCCTTAACCTGGCTTTATGACCCACATACATCTCAAACTCATGATTTTCCTGCCTCAGCCTCCTGAGTACTGAGGTTAAGGCATGCACTTCCATGCCTTGCCAACATTTGTAAGACACCTTGAGGGAGAAAGTGCTCATTCTTAAGAACTTGCTAGCTAAAAGACACACTGGAAAGTGTTTAGTTTTAAAAACTTTTTACAAATGTACTTTTCTCTGATTTTCATACCAGCAAGAAAGATAAAAAAAGAGAACTACCTAAAGGAGGGGCTAACAACTGGAATCTTGAAACAAGCCCGCTGGTACAGTTTATACAGCACAACCACGTACATCAGGAATGAGAATGAATGAAGTCTCCACCTAACCCTGAGACTGTCAGCAACGCACGGGGCCTGGACTCCATCAGCTACACCCAGATGACACATTGAAGCATCAAAATCACACTACTGTGATGCCCAAGTTACAGCTGTGGAAACTGAGGCACAGCACAGCTGCATGACTTGCTCAAGGTCATGTACCTGCTATCGCCACAGGGGATGTGGATCTGGGCTCGCTCAGGACCCTGTGCAGTGCCTTTTCCTAGGTGGGCAGGACTGTCAGGGACTCACGGTCTCCTCTCAGCCAACTGCACTCTTCAGTCAGCAGGTCCCTAAGGGCCATCCCGACCGCAAGGGAAAGGTCAACGCCTGGCCTTCTCTCACTGATAATGCAGCAGGGCTGCCCTAGCAGTCTCCACAAGGCTTCTGCCTTCTTCCCTGTCCTTCTTCAGGTGGCACAATGTAAGTATATGGAAAGATGACACTGGAGGGAAGGGAAAAGGAAAGACAGAGCTGGCAGAAGCTGGAAGTTGTGAGCTAAAGTTTACTCCGCCATTTCTTCTAGTGCGGAGAGAAGTCCCAAGTGCCACACTGCAATTTTCCTGGCAAGCCAGTGCTGCCTGCCACGCACTGCACCCCACAGGTGCATCAGCCTCAGCCCTGAGAACACAGATGGGTGCTCCACTTTATTAGTTGGGCAAGGATGCTAACGTTCAACCAGACAGATTTTTTAAAAATTCTGTTATTGTTGTTAAAAACAAAAACAAAACAAAACAAACAACAAACCAAGAATGCTCAAAGTATTAAACTATACCATGTATTCATAGAATTCTTTTTTTCTTCAAATCAATTACATTCAGGTTATCTGACAGATATCATAAAACTGCCCACCATAGTCAGATGACTACTTTAGAATTTCATCTATGAACTTTCTAGTATGTTTCTGAACTCACATATGCATCCCACATAGAACTACAAAGTACAGAGCAAAGACCCATTCTTAGACACCTTGCCACAACCACAACAGATGTTTGGAGTAAGCAGCATGAACTTGAATCTCCTGGCTAATGAGACATCTCCCTCCCTACCACCACACACACACACACACACACATGTGCACACAAACCTGTAAAAATGCATGCTTGGTGTGCAATTTAATGATGTGTTTGGGCAAATAATCCAAAGCCTGTCCTTAGGGTTCACACACACTTCTTGTGAGTTAGAAAATCTATTTTTACAACAGCGAAACATTCTGGTTTTCTGGTTTTTGCTTTTATTGTGGTACTGGGGATTGAACCTAAGGCCTTAATGCATGCTAAGCATGCACTACACCACTGAGCCACATCCCCAGCAAAATAGTCACACACGTTAGGAAACTTATTTCTTCTCTTACATGAAACACAAGCTTTTGAAGGCAGTGGGGTGGATGATCAAGCTGTGCTCCTGTTGTTGTTTTTATTACAGTAAGCATGAGCCTGTGAAATAAAAGACACTGGCAAAATCTAGGCAACACTATTTCTTTAGCATGGTTTCGAGAGGCCAAAGGACTCACTTTAATATTAAGCTCCACAAAGCCAACTGCTCATTGCCTAAATTATTCTAAAAGACTTTTACGCAGTTCAGATTTTGTGGTTAAATGGTATCTGTACAATTCTATTTACAGAGCATCAAAGGCTGAGTATTTGTGTAAAATGTTTCCATAAAAGAATTTCACCTGCAATGGCATGTCATCACTGTTGTGCTGCTTAAAACAGTCACTATGGCCAAGTGCGGTGGCACATGCCTGTAATCTCAGCACTTGGGCAGCTAAGCAGGAGGATTGCTGTGAGTTCAAGGCCAGCCTGAATTACAAAGTGTGACTCTTGTCTGAAAAAGAAAACAAAACAAAAATAAAATAAAAACAAAAGAAAGACTCATTAAGATATGAAAAACAATATAACGTTTGCTATGAAATAAAAGACAGACAATAGGAAAGAAGAAAGAAAAAATGTTACTGTAATCCAGCATGGACAATGTATCTAAAGGTATACTTCAACTTAGTACAATTGTCTTACATTTTTAATACGTGTTTTGGCCTATAGCCTCATGTATATATATATATATATATATATATATACATATACATGTATATATGTATGTATATATATATTTTAATAGTCTGGTTTTTAATCTGTATATTGGTCAAGGTTCTATAAGAGAAATACATGAATCAGATTCTGGCAAAATACAAGGATGGTGGGAAAAAAGAATAGAAATGTGTTACATACATGTATCACCTCCCTAGAACTAACATGATTATTATGTACTGCAAACACATACCAATAAAAGTTTTTTTAAAAAAGGCAGTCATGAACTCTGAGAAGAGAACTAAAATGAGCCAGATTTCATAACTTTCCAGCAAAGAGGTTTCCCAGGGACTCGAGTACAATGCTGGGGTCAGGGCCTTAGCACTCTGAGTTCCAGACAGTGCTGGCTTTCCTGAGAAGTGGACACCTGATGTTTCCCACAGACAAATTTATCCAAGAGCCCACCAACTTTGTCCTTTCCTCAGCACCAGTGTGACCATCTTACCTTAGGCTTTCAAAGTTTCCCTACTGTCAAGTACAAATTATACCTCTTAGACATTATACACTGTCTGAATTTTGCAGAAAGCTTTTTTATTTATTTATTTATTTTTATTAATGGTCTCACTAGGAAAATGCCTCAACCTATCTAGTTCTCTTCTGTAACTCTGGTTTTCGGTATGGTCAGCTTATACACAGAGACATATACACTCTTCCCTGGTATGCTGGTGCCTTTGCTACCCCATCCAAAATCATTCTGAACAGTACTTATTATTTTCAGAATCAAGACTTTGCTTCTACGTTTATGTGGCTCTAGGGATGGCAGGCCAAGCCAGTATGCTCCCACTTGTACTCCACTCCCCAACCCCTTAAGATTTAGTTTAGAATTACAGTTCAATAATAGACTGTAAAATAGAGATTCTATCTGAGATAAAATCCAAAATTACATCACGGTGAATGGTTCTAGAGGACCATTTGTGTAAACATTACAAGTCACCCTAGTGACCATAATTATAGCTTATTTAGGTCTTGTGTCCATGTTTTAAAACATATACATGCACATATATGATTCTATTGAACTGAAAAAAAGCCAGATGATGCATGAACAAGTGTAACTGTCATTTGACAGCTGAGAAAACTGAAGCACAAGCTAAGGAACTTTGTCAGAGACACAGAGCTAACTTGAGAAGGAACCAGGATTCACGGCCAGAGCTCAAATGGCCAAGCCTAACTCTTACCCATTCTATCGTCTAGGGAGACAACTTTGCAAAGGAAGACTGGGAATACACGTGTGATTCAGTCAAAATTTCCAAATGTCCTTGTTCTCCAGACAAGATGGCTTACAACAGGCTTCAGGGTAATGGAGGCAAACCTACGGCATGCACGCTGCGGCAAGATGTTTGTATCACTGAAGCTCTAAAACGTTGGCTATCACTGCTTTAGGTTCGTCTTAAGTGTAATATCTAGCTACGTATTTACGTAGCTAGATATTACACTTAAACAGCTAAGAATTACTGATAACTCAGAAAACTGTCTCATGAGATGGAAAAATAACAAAAAGCTTACTTTTTTTGTAGTTTACGATTTTTTTCAGCCTTTCCTCCCAATTTGCTAAGTCTGCAGGCATCCTGAGATGAGTTTTCTGTCTCAGAAACACCAGCTACAAAAAAGCAGAAAAGCCCCCCAATTTAGAGGAAATTAACATGGCAAAGTTATATGTTTTCACACATAGGTAGAAGATTCTGCAGATAGAGCTAAATAGTTTCTGAAGGGTAAGCTTCTGAGCAAACACATACAAATGTTCAAGAGTGTAAACTAGCACTTATGAGGGTTAATCATTCACGCCAAATGAATGTCCACCGCTCCGCTTTGGTTCCCAGGTGGACAGACTGAGGAAGGAGACTGGGCTGTCTGGAGAACGCTCAGCCATGAGTCCTCGTGGGCACGGGGCACGCGCGGCAGGCACAGGGGAAAAAGCTCAAGCTCTCCCATTCCCAGCAGTTAGGACAGCTGCCGCAAACCCACCCACCTTGTCCTGCTGATTCTTTGCCAGTTTGTCCAGGCCGACCCTTTTCCTTTTTGCCAAACGAATGACCAATGGAGGACTTGATGCCCTTCTTCTTTGGGGCTCTGTGGAGCGAGTCCTGCCTGCGGTCACTGCTACTGGGATTGCTCACAGGACCATCCTGGGCACCTGTTGAGCTTGAAGGAAAGAAAATGGACTTTTACCACATGCCCTCTTCATAGCTCCACAGTCCACTCACATGTACCAGAACAGTCTGCATTTTTAATATTCCTTCAATCAACTTCCTAAAGAACATTTCGAGTCTCTTACCCGCAGTACACTGTGCCTAGCAACGCAGGGTCCCAGTAATGCTTCCACAGACCTCTGTCCATAAGCCAAGACTCTGCTGTTGCTCCCTGCTCAGAGGAGGCCTGTACTCTAGCCTGCCTGGTGTGCACACCTAAGGAACACCCTCTGCAGGGGCCTTGCTCAGCCAGTGAGGGTTGTGCTCTGTCAACAGGAAAGAGAACAAGGTCCCAGAAGCCGGAGCAACTGGAGTTCCACCTTCCCTCTCAGCAGCTCCTGCAGGCTGGCTCCTGGGTCCTGCTCTCCTCACATGCAAAGCGAGAGCCACACTATCTCTAGGGACACTGTGGAGACCAATGTGCCTGCCTGATCATACTGCCTGGTATGGAACAGAAGCTTCTAATAGGAAATGTGAAAAACAACAGTCTATAAGTAACCAAGCCTTCATGGCCTCCTGATGGAACATGCTTACTAAAGGGATAGGGGTAATGTGGGACTCTCAAGAGCTTAGAAGACCCAGAGGGTGGGAGGGTACCTGACAGGCACATACTGTCCACAGAACAGCACGATCCCGAACCTTCCACATCTGTGTGGCAAATTCTTCACCAGGAATAGAAAGAAAGTTCTTAAAAGAAGTGAATGTGTGGGATCTGAAGAAATGGAGCTTTTCTATCAGGTGCTAATTTCAAATAATTTCCTTTGTTTCTAAACTTTGCCCAAACAGATGGCCTTTTCAACTGGATGTTACTACAGCCGCAGACCAGGAGAAGGCATTCTAGATCTAACGTTTAAATGATCACAACCGAATGACCTTGCTGAGCATTCTTTAAAAACTTGTGTTTTCCCCCAGGAAAACATTAATAGATGTTCTTAAAACCTAAGACAAGCAGGTTTCACAGGGGTCTGGTGGCCTATGAGACCTGCTGCTTACTTTCGCATGTCCCTGAAGTCCTCTTGGCTAACTGTATGCAACGCCTGTGTGCAGCCTGTCTAGCCGAAGGGACTTTGGATAGGAGGGAGAAGTTTCACATTTTAACGTTGTCTTGTCATCTCGTAGTTCTTCTCTGCAATCTGGCAAGTGAGGAGTAAAAAAACAACATCAGCTAACAGTGCGTTACAAGAAAACACATCACATAGGCTTTAAATGACATAAACTGACTTAAAAACCTATTAGCTAAGCTTTCTACCTGTACTGAAAGATCTCATTGTAATCGAATGCCAACTCAAAGGCCTGTATTGTCTGGGGGAATGGGACCACACAGCAGAGCCACAGCAGGGCTCTGAAGTCTTGTGAACAAGACTTCAATAGTTAACTTCTTTGTCAGTGCAATTGTATCAAAGATTCAGATTCCATTATAGTCCTGTAGCAGCTCACTGAGGACCAACTAGATTAGTGTAATTCACAGCTGAGAGTATTTAGGATATGATCTTAAGTGATAAATAGATAAATTCTGTATCTTTCTGTGTCATTTTTGAGAGAAGTTTTCACTATACAGTTTCGGCTGGCCATGAACTCACACGGTAGCCCAGGCTGGCTTCAAACTCCAGCAGTCCTCCTGTATCAGCCTCCTGAGTGCTGGGATTACAGGCATATACCACCTTGTCTGGCTCTCATTTCTAATTGTAGTAACAAAACAAAAGACTGCCATGGGGTGGGGTAACCAGAGCATGCTTACTTACCATATTCAAGGCCCTGAGTTTAACTTCCAGCAATCTCATATCTAAAAAAAGCCATCATGCTTGAAATTACCAACATGAATCATAAAAGTTCAAAAAAATTTTTGGGAGGGAAGCAGAAATCAAACTTAGGACCTTGCTGTTTGCCAGGCATCATTTAAAATTTCAGGTTAAAATAATCATTTGTTAAAATAGGAAAGAAAAAAGAAGAGGTAGGGTACTATATGTATGCTCCACGCACAAAAAGAGATTCCTGCACCAAGACTCCCTATACTGTCTCTCGCTCTGCCCAGAGACTTCCAGGCTCACTCAACAAGGCCTTCATTCTGTCTGTGCTCTTTTCTGGGAGGAAAGCCCAAGACTAGGACACATTGCCTTGTCTCAGACCTGTCTACAAGTGACAAGAAGTCCCCTCAGTCTGCCCAGTTAAACTGAAGTGAAGAAGTAACCATCCCATACTGGTCTTTGTCTGGCCCGTGTTTGGTGTCCTTAGACTCAGCCCTAGGCTAATCTTCACGGCCAGCCCAGGACAAGTCTCCTCTGAGTCACCAGGCTGCATGCTGAGGAGAGATGACCAGTGAACAAAACCAGGCTACAGAACCACACTTAAGTCCACTGAACGGAGGTAAACTCTGCGGCTGGCTGCTGGTGATGGTGCCTCATCTCACTTTGGGCAGGCACAGATCGCGGCCATTCTGAGCAGCACTACTGTGTGGATCACTTCCTCACTTACATGAGAGCAAGCCACAGTCCCACTGGGCCAAGGAACAGCTCCCAGGCCAGGAAACAATCAGCAACAGAGTGAGGATCTGTACCCGTGTCCTTACTAAATTACCCTTCTGCTCAGCCCCATAGAGAAGCTCACACACAGCTGCTGAGGACAATCACCCCTTGGCACCTGCGGCAGCACTGCCCCACAAGTGCACCACCAGGAAGGCAGGAAGCATGAAGCGGGCATGGCACAGGGCCAGAGGCAGCAGGTGTTAGGGGGAGCTTCTAGGTCAACAGAAAGAAAGCCCCCAATCCCCACTGCTCCCAGGGCATTGCTTTTACTTCCAAGGTTTCCTCTGAGAGGGAGACTGCCAGCAGATCAGAGCATCTTGACAAATCCAGGCCTAAGGGAAAAATGGTCCAGGTTTTGAAATCAAACCAGACTTAACTCATACCTGCTCTGCACATCATGTGATCTAAGCTTCAGTTTGCCCATCTGTAAACGGGGTAAGCACAGCAACTGGTTTCTCACAGGGATGTGCTTGTGGACTAAAAATGGCAACAAAATGGCCAAGCACTGAGTTTGGCACTTGGCAGAGAGCAGTGCTTACTAAGTTCTAGCCATCCATATCAGAAAAACTGGTTTCCCTCAATCTAAAGCCTATGGCTCTGCTTCAATCACTCCCTCCTTCCAAATCCTAACTTCTATGTCCATTAGACACAGGCATGCAATGGTTAGAGGCAAAAGCAGTGCAAGTAGGAAATTTGTCACCACGTTCCATGCATAGCTGATTGGCCAGGGAGCAGTAACTTGTAATGTGGCAGGTCAGTTTAAACATTTCCAATGAATCATCAGCTATTCATTGCAAAATAATGACAACATTATACTTATGTGTGACATACAATATTCATGCATGCATTTGGGAGATACAAAGGTATGCTCAGTTACTGCACTATTTAGCTTTCTAGGACATTTCCTTAAGTTGCAAGGCTGACAAGAGGCATGCAAAGAAATAGAGACCAGATTTATGGCACGCTTTAATGTTAAAAATTCAAGGATCTACACAAGCAAATATATTACAATATGAAGGACAAGACAGAAATCAAGGAGATAGGATTTAGAGGAAATATAACTGGCAATTCAATAATTTTTTTATCACAAATTTAAATCTAAATTATCCAAGGTTTACTAGAAAACACTATAAATTACTGCTCCCAAGAGCAAATTCTGTTTGAACACATGTGATTTAAAGCATGGCACTGTATAGAACAAAGGGCCCTGATAATCACCTACTCTCTAATATTCCAGTGAAGACAAGCATGTTACAGAAACATCTATTATAAAACTGAACAGCCAGGCATGGTGGAGTGCACTTGTAATCCCAGCATTTGGGAAGCTAAGGCTGGAGAACTGCCATGAGTCTGTGGCTACATGAGTTCAAAGCCAGCCAGTACTGCATGGCGAGATCCTGTCTCAGAAAAACACAAGAAACTGAACAAACCTATTTTTAGTTAATCATTTTTTGGGCAATAAAATAAAATCTTCACCTAGAATATGATTTACAACTTCTCAAAATATATCGTTTATCCCTGTATGCAGTGGCATATACATGAAATCACAGCACTCAGGTAGGCTGAGGCAGGAAGGCTGCCAAGTTTGAGCTCAGCTGGGCAATTTAGCAAGATCCTGTCTCACAATAAAGAATAATAGTGAAAAACAAAAGGGTCGTGTATGTATCTCAGTGCACAGGCCTGGATGCCATCCCGGGTGCTGTGGAATACAAAGGAGCAGAACAGAAAGAAAGAAAGCAAGCTAGGGGGCTGGGGATTTAGCTCAGCGGCATAAGCGCCTGCCTTGCAAGCAGGCAGTCGTGAGTTCGATCCCTGGTACCGATAAAAAAAGAAAAAGACAAAAAAAAAATTAAAAAAAAAAAAAAAAAGAAAGCAAGCTAGGCTTCTTAATATATCTAACAATAAAAGCTAGCACAGTATTAGGTAGGAGGTATTTTAATTAAAACGTAGTCCATTAAAGACTATAGCATATGCCCAATAAGTTGATGAGATTTAGAATTCTGATTATAATCATTAAAATCTGTTTCATATTGTCGGTATAAAGTTTCCATTAATTTTATACTCAGGAGTGGCCCCTCCTCTTGCTTCTGCAGTATGCAGAGTTGAATCCAGCTGGGGCCTTCAACAAACTACATTCCCAGCCACGTTTATATTTTTATTTTGACACAGGACATTGCTAAACTGCTCATGCTGGCCTCAGAGTTATAATCCTCCTTCTTAGCTTCCCCAGTAGCTGGCATTACCACTGCATGTACCATTGCACTAAGCCCAGATTATTTCTTAACATAGGAAATATTTCATTCATGAATCATACAGATTCTACACAATCTAAGGAAAAACACTCAACTACTTATATTCCACTTGTAGTCACATTGACAAACTATATATTAAATACAATTGATCACTACTGAGCAAAATACGTGTTTAATGACAAAAACCCCAAACCCCACTAATAGTCATAATCCAGCTCAGACTCACGGGTGCTTGCCTGGTTACCTGTGCAGAGCCATCACAGAATGGGGAGGGGCTGGAAGGGGAGCTTGATGGACAAACTACAAATTGATAGGGCCCTGGGGCCTGGATTAGAATTGAATCTGGAGATGGCTAAAACAAAACAAACACAAGCGTGGTACAGGAAATCCAAACCAATAATGGAAGCACAGACTGTCCGCCAGCATACTGAATTAGAGAACCAGGAAAAAAGAGTTTTCCTCTGCGGTTGTTTGTGGTACTGGCAATACAAGCCAGGGGTACTCTAACACTGAGTTGTAGGGCCATCATTTTTTTTAAATTTTGAAACAAGGTCTTGCTAAATCATCCAGCCTAACCTTTAACTTGTCATTATCTGCCTCTGTCTCCTGAGTAGCTAGAATGATAGGTGTGACCCATTATGCTTGGGACACTCATCCCTTTTTGAGTCAGTGTCTTTATAAATTGCCCAGGCTGACCTTAAACTGGCAAACCTCCCACTTCAGTCCACAAATAGCTGGGATTACAGACGTGTTACTGCACTTCTTTTACAAATATCTGGAAAGAAGGACACAACTGAAAAATGAGATTGTGAAAAAGATTAAAATACAATGCCAGGCTTGGTGCCACATGTCTATAATCCCAGCATGTGAGAGGCTGAGGCAGGAGAATTGCCCTGAGTTCAAGGCCAGCTTGACTTATACCAGAAGATCCCTGTTTCAAAAAACAACAAAAAATAATAAATAAAATAAAAGTTTGAAAAGAAGAAAAAAGGGCCAGGGATATAGCTCCATGGCATAGCACTTGCCTGGCAGGCACATCATGAGTTCAATTCCCAAGAGAAAAAAAAAAAAAAAAAAAAGAAAAAACAAAACAAAAAAGGTTTGGTGAGTGGTTTGGTGCTTGCCTAGTATGTGGGAAGCCCTTGGTACAATCCCAATACTGCCAAAAAAAAATAGTTTAAAATATTGCTCAATTAGTTAATGGTATAAATCATAAATACATCCAAATGCCGCAAAACAGACTGGTGAAACTTAACATTTCACTAAAATGACTTGGTTAATTTGATTATATGCTGGCCAACAAGTCTACTAAAAATTAAAATGTACTGCAACAGAAAAACAAAGATACA